CCACAACGCCCAGCTATCTTTTGTTTCAGTTTGGCCAGGGCCAGGTTTGAACCCACCACCCTCAGTATATGGGGCCGGCACCCTACTTGCTGAGCCAGAGGCGCCACCCTGATGACCCTTTTAAACTCTGTTCCAGAAAGGGCCTTCATCAGCAACCAGCCTAAACTCTCTCCAGGTGTGAGCATCTGCTTGGCTGACTGAGGCTTATATCTGGGGTGGATATCAGAGGATGGAGCTAGCACCACACAGTTGTAAGGCTTTGATTCAGAAGCCGTTGTTGTGTCCTAGTGAGATATCACGTCCTTTTTTGCCAGGTTCCAGCTTCCTCAGTCTATAGAATAATAATGGTAGTATAATTTTCAAAAATATAATATAGTATGGTAACTATCGATCGCTATTTATGTCCTTTTGGTTTTGTGTCTAGTTGCTACATACAAGATCTGAGATTTCAGATATGTTTAGTTTATTTTTATTGCTATTTAATCTAAAGGACTTATATTTCTCTTATCCATTCCTTCCCCCACCCCCCCACCCCCGCTTTCTCACACAGCTGTGGTTTAGGTCCTTATCAACTCATCACTAAATCATTGCAGTAGCTCCAGCCTTCCTATCTCCTACTTTTCCATCTTTTCAGTGAAGTGAATTGCCTGGAACCTAGCTATTCAAAATTCAGTCTATGAACCACAACAAAACCTAAGAACTAGAATTTGTATGTCAGCGGGACCTGGGCTGGATGTAGTGGCTCACATCTGTAATCCTAGCACTCTGGGAGGCCAAGGTGGAAGAATTGCTTGAGGTTAGGAGTTCTAGACCAGCAAGAGCAAAACCTTGTCTTGACAAAAAATAGAAAAATTGCAGCGTGTGGTGGTGGACACCCATAGTCCCAGCTGCTCAGGAGGCTGAAGGAGGAGGAGCACTTGAGCCCAGGAGTTTCAAGTTGCTATGAGCTATGATCATGCCACTACACCTTAGCCAGGGTGCCAGAACAAGACTCTGTCTCAAAAAAAAAGGAAAAAAACCCAAGACCTGCAGACAATTCATACCCACATTAAAGTTTGAGAAGCCCTGTCTTTTCTTCTACCATCCCATCCCCTCCTAGGAGGAGTTCTTAACCTTCACACTGAACCATCTCTGAGCTGTCTCAAGCAGGAAAGGATCCACTTTAATTTTCAATTGAGATATTTTTGACATGATGGTGTAAATACTCACCTATCCTTTCTACTCATTGGTTCTGAGAATGAAGAATAAGTTCATCTAAATAACTTTTTTTTTTTTGAGACAGAGTCTCACTTTTTCGCCCTCAGTAGAGTGCCTTGGCGTCATTGCTCATAGCAACCTCTCTTGTCTCAGCCTCCTGAGTAGCTGGGACTATAGGAGCCCACCACAACACCCAGCTATCTTTTGCAGACAGGGTCTCGCACTTGCTCAGGCTGGTCTCCAACCTGTGAGCTCACCACCTCTGCCTTTCAGAGTGCTAGGATTACAGGCGGGAGCCACTGCACCTGGCCTATCTAGATAACTTTTAAGCGGTTGTAAAATGACTGAGACTTCTTCCTAATAATAGCAAAGTATATTGGTTTTCTGGTGAGTGAGGATTAGGTGGCACTTTGGAAGCGTGTGTGATGGGATGAGTAGAAATGCTCCTGTTACTCCTGTGTTTGAGTACAGTGGCAGATATTTTATATGCTTAAATTAATCCTCACATTAATTCCATTTAAGCAGGAATCTTTATCCCCATTTTACACATGAGGAAACTGAGTCTCAGAAAGTCTAGATTGTTCAGAGTCACAGTATTGGTTGGAGTTCAGCCTGCACTATAGTAACACAGACATCAAAATTATAGTGGTTAAGATAGGTGACTCTGTCCTGAGGGGACAGGTGGCCCTGATGGGAGGCAACAATGCCCCCTGAGGTCACTCAGCTTCCCTGTCCTATGCTGTGTTGTCACCACCTGGATGCTATCCAGGGCCATGTGGTTGGAGTTGATTCCTGCCTTGGGAAGGGAGAAAAGGAAAGTGAAGGGAAGGCAGTTTCTTATGAAAACATAATCCGGAAGTTCTACCTGTCGTTTGTACTCACATTCTGTTAGTCAAAGCTTGGTCACACAGCCGCACCTAGTTGCAATGAAAGGAAATGTGGAAACTTGGAGAGTTGTTTACTAAAAGGAAGAAGGTGAATGGCCAAGAGAGGAAAGTTGTAGGCTCTGCTATAGGCACCTTGCTGAGTGGTGGAAGAGCTAGATTCAAACCCTGTGACTAGCACGCATGATTTTCCCATCACATTTTTCTACCGCTTCTCATAGTTGACAGTGAGTAAATGTTTGCTGAATTGAGATGGATTGAGACATCATATGAGTCTTTGTATTATTTGAAATTATTTCTTCCTTCTCTCTTGCCTCCCTGATTATGTGAGTGGTTCTGCCCAAATTGTCACTATTTTTGATTATTTTATTTTATTTATATATATTTTTTGAGACAGAGTCTCACTATATCACCCTCGTTAAAGTGCCAGGCCTCTTAGCTCACAACAACCTCAAACTCTAGGCTGTAAACAGTTCTTTTGCCTCAGCCTCCCAAGTATCTGGAAATGCAGGCGCCTGCCACAATACCCAGCTACTTTTTGTTGTAGTTGTCATTGTTATTTAGCTGGCCCAGGCCAGGTTCAAACCCACTAGCCTCAGTGCATGTGGCCGGTGCCATAACTGCTGTGCTCTGAGCGCTAAGCCAGTGATTTTATTTTAATGTGTAAAATAGGAAACTACTATTCATCTTCCTTCAGTAGAAATAATATAATAAAATAATCCACCATTATTAGAGATTCTGTCGAGCCATATGAGATATAATAAGGGGTTAATGATATCAATTTTTTTAAATGACCAAATAATCATGTCCTTTAAAATTGGTGTAGTCTTAGGAGAATGCTGTTGCTCAAAACATTTTTGACATTTTCTTTTGGCTGATTTATCAATCAACTCTTGCTGCAATAATGGTTCATGACACCACCATCAAAATCTCAGAGGTATACATACAGCAATCTTTTGCTGTTCACCCCCAGGGGGCCAACTATTCAGGCAGGGCCTAGCTAGCTGGCTCTATTTCAGGTATCTCTTACCCTTTTTTGAGACAGCCGACTAGCATGGATGGATTTTTCTCTGACAATGGCAGAAACATAAAAGAACAAGTGGAAGTACTTGAGGCTTCTTGAAGCCTAGGCGGGGAATTGGCACAACCTGTTTGCTAACCAAAGCAAATCATATGGCTAAACCCCAGTCAAGCATGATGGAAAACACTCTACACCTTAATTAAATAAGAGAAAATATAGTCACATGGTAAAGGAGTTGGGGAAGAACTGGAGCCAGCAAAGCAACCCACCATTGCTTTGCCTCTAGTAAGTTACTTTTCCTATTTGCAATGACGATGAATCTTTATGGGGAATTTTGAATTCTTTTCTCTTACTAAAAATAGCTAAATTTATGACTAAAATAAGAGAATTAAGCTGGTTTATCTTTGAGCAGAAAGGTAACTACTTAAGCATATGATATAAATGAGAATTTTCTAGAAGAATGGGTTTAAGCATATGGCATTTGCTGGCAGCATAATTAGAATAAATGCATAGCCGTTTAAAATGACCACTTTGAAAGGAAAACACTCATTTGAACATTTGGTTCTGAAATAGTTTTTAAAAAATAAACCTTATGACTTCTAGTCATGTAATACCACTTTGTTTCAAAGTGGGACAGGGAGTGGAATGGAGACTCATCCCTGATCTTTTGACTAACCCTGGAAAAATATGCTTCATGTGCAGATTCTCATTGCCAAGTCCCCTCTGGCTCCCTTCACCTCATTTGTCTACACCATCAAGGAGGAAGGCCTGGTTCTTCAAGGTAAGAACCTTGGACTAAGCTATTTCTTTAAGTAGATTGTGCTCAGTGCTGCCTATGGCTAGTGGTAATTCCTGCTGCAGTCCTGATAGAAGCTATTTCAGGATAGAACCAAGGGCCGCAATGAACTGGCCAGTGATGTTTACCCTGATGAGATCAAGAGATTGGCAGTTGTGGCAAGAATTTGACAGAGAAAACTGAGGTGGGATGAGAGAGAACTACAGAATTTCAAAACAGAGCAAAACAACCGAAAATGAGGCTCAAACCAAGAAAACTAGGAATTGCCACCATGCCAGTCCTCTTCACATATTCTGTGGAGGGAACTGGGCAGGAGTCTCTGCTCGCTAGTGGGGGGTGGGGGCAGCTCAGCGAGCTGGAGAGCCATCAGGCTAGCAGCTTGCCGGGCGCTGTGTCACAGCTCCATGCAGCCTGTTTCCCTGGCTCCTTCTGGTTACTGTTTCCTTTCCCTGCCCTGAAGTGATGACAGGGCCTTGGTGCTGGGGACCTGGCCTGTGCACCTGTACCTGGTGACATGAGCCTAGGACTTGAAAGGAATTGAGTTCTTGCTCAAGATGAAGCACCTCAAGGCCACAACCTGGAACTCACTGATCTGTAAGTGGGGTGCATTCCCAGATGCTGGATACTCGAGTGATTAGGAAAGACACCTGATTACAGGTCTTTCCAGAAAACAGTAAACATGAAGGAGTAAATTGAAACACCATTAAACTTAGAAGAATCAGCTGACAGGGTCAGATGTCCAAAACTGCTTTGAGGTTTAAGAAGGGTCTCCTTCAAAGTGCTCAGGATACACATCTGTTCCCCGCTGTCAGGCCCTACAGATAAAGATGCATAGATACACATCTGGCCTGAACCATTATTGCCTTTGCTGTCAACAAGAAAAATATCTGCCCTGTAAGATTTTGTAAGTTGAGTGTTTTTTCCAAGTTTGGGAAACAAGGCAGTCCCTGCAGTATCCCTGGGGAGACACACTGCATTGCAGAGACCTAGCAGGGATTCTGTGGGGCAGGCGGAGGAAGAGTTCATACTTCTAACTGAGGAACAGGCTGAAGCCTTCCCGCTCCTTCCCCTTCTAAAATGTCTGCTTCTTAATGGACTTGCAAAACAATGTGTGTGTTTGGTGCAGCTGAGCTCCACAGCAGGGACTCTGGGGTCCAAGAAATTTGGGGTAAGAACTACTGACCTTTGGCTCTTAGCCTTTGACTTATGCTATCCAAGTTGCTTGGTAAATATTTTTTTTTACAATTGCAAATATTGTTTTCTGACAAAGAAGCAGAGATTTTAAGACCAGATTAAGCAAAGCAAACAGCAGGCCCCTTTGTTACATACTTTCTAAGGGTGTATAACTAACAATCAGAAAGCTGGACTTTTATTTACCCTGTGCTCAGGGTGGCTTTCGGCTCTTCATTTTTAGAGGCTTTCTTAAAAGATTAGAAGTCTAATAAATAGCAAGTTTGGATGAAGAGTGCAAGAAATCCTGTGGGAGATTACCAGATAAGTTCAGGGGAAAAGAGTTAGTTCTGCCCAGATGGCTTCTTTTGAGAACCTTGTTATGATGCTTGTACCTTGATCACTGGGCATTTTGTGAAATAGCATTTCTAAGCCTGGTCAGTTTGGGTAACTTTGGGGATAATATTTGTGGGAACAAGATTTACCAAATTGCCTCTCTGATATTCATTGCTAGGATTACAATTTTAACAGGGACAAGGAAGTTGTTTAGAGAAAATAGAGACTGAAAATATAAGGAATTGGTCGAGATTAAAACTGCAAAGAATGACCGTCAGAAAAAGTTGGAAAACAGGGGCCAAGGTGGATTGCTAAAGGAGGCTGACCTGAGGCTGTGTGTCCAGGAAAGAGAAATTTAGGAAAATATTTTATGACACAAGTACCAAAACCAGTAAGTCAAACGCCTGGGAAACCTCAGAACCTCACCTGGTTGCTTTCCAAGTTGTTTTCTCTGTTCCACTCCGCCAAGCTACACTCCCCTCTCCGAGGTTTTCTGGAGGCACCAGAACCCCTCAGCCCCAGGCAGTGATGCCCAAACACAGCTCCTGGCGCTCCCTGCCCTCTCACTGTGTGTTCCCAGAGACCTTGAGAAAATGAAAAGGAGCTCTGCTTTCCTCCTTCTTTGGACAGAACCTTTTGATTTCTGTTTCAGCTCTGGGGTGATTCTCAGAAACTCTCTGGAGCCCTAGTTTTCTCAACTTGAAAATTAAAACTTAACCTTAATTCAAGGCTTCAGAAACTGCATTGCAGCCCATCTAATGGGTCATGAAATTAAATTGATGAGTCACAACCAGCATTTTTAAAAAGAGAGACGAAGAAGAAATAGAAGATTTAAAAAATCGGATTCTATCACATATTGTGTCATTTCGTGAAATATTTGTTATATGATTATGTGTGTACACATTATGAGTCTATGTAGGGGGGTAGTGTAAACTGTTTTTGTTACTTTGACTGAGCAACCGGTCTGGGTGATCTCCAAAGGCCTCCTCAGTTGGGCCTTATCTGATTCTCCTAGGAGGTGATGTACTTATCATTCACTTAGCTCAGCACAGTTGTACCCTTGAGATCTCCACACACTGGAACATAAAAGTTTATTTTTTTCCTCATTCTTACCAGATGACTGAGCTAAAAGACACCTGCACAATTCCCCAGGTTTAAAGCAAAGAAACCCTTGATCCCTGGGCAGTAAACTTGGAAAGGTACCAGCAGCCAAGGCCAAGAAGCTTTCCTTGGTGAGGGGTCGCTCTGGCAGGGTAGGCCCTAGCTGGCATGCAGACTGGAGCTCTGGGTGGGATGTGCAGTCCACGGCTGAGGGGCTTAGAGACAGAGAGGGCAGGGGCACGACCAGCTGAGAGAGGCTGCCAGCCACTGTGGCTGACACTCAGACCTGGATCCAGCCGCTTGCCTGAACTGGTGGGAAAAGCTGCCCATGGGAGTGAGCTGGGGGTTGTTAGGAATGTGGGAACAATCCCTCGGTGCCTTTTATCCCTTCACAAGCCCCAAGATTCCTACCAGCCTGCAAGCCAGGGGCTTTTATAATACCTGAAGAACTCCTGAGTGCACAAGCAGAGGGAAGGAATAAAAGGTGAGGACAAAATTCGATTTACCGGCTCCACAGGCCATTCCCCTCACCCATTCTCAGGGATTAGGATGCTGAGAACAGTTGGCAACTGGAGGCCTTATTCCCTTCCCTCCCCTTTGTTCGCTGGGATGGGAAGGACAATAAAACGGCAGGCTGGAGAGACTGAGGGGCTGGTTAGAGATTTCTCAGGCTGCTTTTTGAAACACTTGAAGGAGCCGGTTCATGCTATTGTTGTAGTTAAAATAGAAAGTGGAACTATTCTCCTTTTGCAAAAAAGAAAGAAAGAAAGAAAGAAAACCCACCCTCCCAGCATCTTCAGGAAGCCCCTGGACTCAGGCATTAGCATGGTAATACTGCCCTGTGTGCATCTTCTTTGTCTGGGCTCTAGATGCTGGAAATCAGGCCCCCAAGGAAAGGGAGCTCACAGCCACCAGCTTCCCAAGGGTTCAGACTCTCAGAGGGGCTGGGTCCCAGGCACAGGGTTCAGCCCCTTTGTACATCTGAAGTGGGAAAGGTGGGGTGGGAGAGGATCTCATGAATCCATTATTTCTTTTGTCCTCGGGGTTCACCATGAGAGCCTCAGTGCCCAGCCACTGGGGAAGCTCAGAGGTGTGGCTACCCTCAGAGAGAGAGAAGGTGGAGCTGGCCTCGGGAGTCAGCTTTAATGGGGTGGGCGCCCAGCCCTGACTGCAGAAGGGCAGGAGGGTTCACAGAGAAGCCCAACCTGGCCTACAGTGTTCATCCAGCAAGCCCCAAATGTTGTGCCGCCCAGAACACAGCTGAGACTGAAGGCCAGGAATAAAGACCTTGTGACGGAAGGCAGCTGGGCTGTGTTGCTGGTGTGACAGGAGGTGGAGGGCGGGGCCTGGCTCTCAGGGAGCCATCCTGGTTTTCACAGGTCTCACCAAGTCCACACCGCCCATGGACTTGTTGAAGCAGATTCTAAGCAAGGAAAAGGTTAATCCTCAGGACCCTTCCTTGACTCCTTTTCCTTAGGAATCTAGGGAGCATTTGAAAAAGAAAAGCCAGGTTGTTTTGAAAAGGACAGAGTATGTTTTCACAAAACCGAGATCAGATGAGATCAGATATGGTGGGATGTGTTTGGATTCTGGTGCCATCCTGGTTTAGGTTTTAATGAGCAGTAGCACCCTGAGATGGGCACAGAGAAGCTGCTGGAAACAACTGGTTTCATTTTTTTTTTCTTTCTCTGAGACAGCCTCACTATCCTGCCCTCGGTAGAGTGCTGTGGTGTCACAGCTCACAGCAACCTCTTAGGCTCAAGCGATTCTCTTGCCTCAGCCTCCTAAGTAGCTGGGACTACAGGCCCCTGCCACAACACCTGGCTGTTTTTTGTTGCAGTTGTCATAGTTGTTTAGCTGGCCCGAGCCTGGTTCGAACCGTCCAGCCTCGGTGTATGTGGCAGGCGCCATAAGCACTGTGCTACGGGCACTGAGCCTGGTTTCCTTTTTCTTGAACCATTTAATATGGGGACCCTTAAGAAAACAGAAAACAATGAATTTTTTTTTAGAGCTGGAAACTTTGTGCTTCATCTTTCTAGTTTTGCTTTTACTATCAAGAATGGTTGGTGTGGTCACCTTTGGAAGCATATTGGGAGAGGCGTTCATCTCTTCTGTTTGTTCCTTTGTCACAAACTTCAGTTAAATTCTTCCACCCCATTTTTTTAGTCACCAAGCCAACTGGATGATTTATTGAAAAACTCTTTTCCCTCAAATACCACCATCTGAGTCCATCAGATTTCCGTTTCAATCAGTAATCCATGGAAATGTTTTATGCCTGCTGGACTCAAAGTGACCCAGAAGATTCTCAGTCTGTTTCCATCAGGTATAGTGGTGTCTATGTGGTAAATACAACCCACATACCTGGCACAGCCTGGCATTCTTGTGGGAGCCTGGGCAAAGAGCCCTGGAATTCAATGGAGCGGAGAGAGTGAACCTCTCTCCCAGAGGTCATGGGGAAGAGGGCAAAACAGGGCTGTCACATTGTCCCAGCTTGCCAGGTGCCATTGCCGTTTCAGAAAGTTCATCCGGGCCAAGGCATTGTCCTTCACTCCTCCTGCCTGTCTCTTGTTGTGGGGCTTCCCAGGCCTAAGGAAGGAAGGCACCCCTCTGCCCTGCCCTGCTCTTTACAGCCCTCGCCCCAGCACCTCCCCACACCTGCCCTCTGCAGGGATCACTTCCTTTCCTCTGGCTGTAAGCCTCAGAGAGAGATTTTGTCAAGGTGGAAAACTATTTTTAATACAGAACAGTACAGAAAATCATAAAAGAAAACCCACGAATCTAATACATGATAAATGTTGTCTCATTTGTTTCAGATTTTTTAAATTATTATTACAGGAATAAAATGTGACTAACTTCAAAACTTTCTCCTCATCCTGCACCCCTCCCCAGAAGTAAGAGGTCTCCTGGGTTTGGTATACATCCTTCCCTCTGTTCTTAAAAACTTTTCTATGTATATGTGAATCATACCTAAAGACTTGTTTTGAGTGCACTCTTAATACCTGCACGCCTGATGTATTGTGCACGTTGCTTTTGTCACTTAGCATTCTGTTACTGCAGCATAGCCCGAGATCCACTTGACAGACTTAGATCACGGTCTTTCACTCTGCTGTAGGTCTCCACGTCCACTGTATGAATGTGCCACATCTTGTCCACTAATTATGGAAATTTTGATTATTTGTAACTTAATTAATTCAGTCACATGCGTTTCTCATTGTGCAGGGTTTCTCCAGGTATATACCGAAGACAGAAAGATTGGTCAGAAGCTATGCATATTTTTATCTTTGCTATGTCTTCCCAAATTGCTCTCCTAGGAGGTTTACTAACTCACAGTCCTGTCCACACCATTGAGTGCAAGTCTGCTGTGTTCCCGTGGGCAATCTTCGCAGGCATTCTTCACGGATGCCTCTTGCCTCTGCCACTGGCGTGTCAGCTTTCTGTAACCTCCAGCGGGACCTTCTGCACAGTACCTGTGCTTTACGTATATACTTAGATGACTAACTGATAAACATTTCTTTATTCCTCCTCAAGTTAACTTTCTCCCAGAAAACAAACTTGTAGTTTTTTATATCACCCTGATTTCTAGGTGAGGGAACTGAGTTCCAGAAAAGTGAAGTAATGTTCACTGCCTGCACATTGGGTTTGTAGCCCTTCCCAAACAGCCTTGGCTCCTAAGACTTTAGAAATCAGCAATAGGTATGAGGCTGGGCATGGTGGCTCATGCCTGTAATCCTGTGCACTCTGAGGCGGGCAGATTGTTTGAGCTCAGGAGTTCATGACCAGCCTGAGCAAGAGCAAGACCCCATCTCTAAAAAAATAGCTGGGCATTGTGTCAGGTGCTTGTA